CCTCTCCCTGACACCAAGATCCAGCCAATCCACATATCTGTTCTGACCCTCACCATGCTTTACATGTCTACATCCAGCTGTCTACATATCAGGATCAGATGGAACCACTTGCCTGATAGACCAGTCCAGTCACTCATCCATCAGCCACAGTGACTAAGGGTGTCATCCTTAAGCCACCAGCCCTTCTTTATGAGGTTTTTCTAACTGGAATTGGAACTGAGAAAGTAAATTAATCACCGATTTGAAAAGCTACAGGAAAGTATGGGGGTTTTTTTTGTTGTTTTGAGACAGAGTCTCACTATGTCACCCTCGGTAGACTGCTATGGCGTCACAGCCCACAGAAACCTACAACTCTTGGGCTTAAGCAATTCTCTTGCCTCAGCCTCCCAAGTAGCTGAGACTATAGGCACCTACCACAATGCCTGGCTATTTTTTGGTTGTAGTTGATTAGCTGGCCCAGTCCGAGTTCAAATCCTCCACCCTCGATGTATGTGGCTGGTGCTGTACCACTGTGCTACAGGCACTGAGCCAAGTATGTTTCTTAATGTACTGAGAGAATGTTATTATTATTATGAGACTCCCTCCCCCCCCCAGAAAGCTATACAAAGGGTGCCAAAAAATGTATATGCATTTTAAGGAAAAAACTGTATACAATTTGTAATACTCAAGTCACATGAGTCATGTTTGACTTCTGCAATTATAAGAGGTGCTCAACATGACATATTCATCTTTTGTTATCAGTATATTTTTTATTACAATTTTAATACAGTTTTTTCCTTTCTTAAATGGGTCTACATTTTTTGGCACCCTCTATATATACTTATAGGGCTTGTACAAGTATAGACTAATAAGCAAAGAGCTAGATTGATTGGGAAGGAAGACTCAAAAATAAATGAAAAATAACAGCTAACCTTCAGGCATTATTAATTAAATCATTTTATTACATTAAATCAAAATAGAGTAACATTAAAATGTTTTCAAGCAAAGCTAGCATACTTACTGAAACTGAAGTTTTCAAAGTAGTAAAGGGTATATCAATATAATGTGTAAATCATTTGTTATAAATTCCATAGAATGGACAACTGAAAGAGTGAACCCTAATGTAAACTATGAACTTTTATTGAAAATAATGTATCAATATTGGTTCATCAGTTGCAAAAAATGTACCACACTAACACGAGATGTCAATAATAAGGAAAACTGCCAGGAGAGAGTGGAGGGATGTGGGAGCACTCTGGATTTTCCACACAATTTTGCTGTAAACCTAGAACAGTTCTTAAAAATAAGTGTTAATTTTTTTTTTATAAAGAAAGGAATGAATTACTGGTATTTGCTATAAGAAGAAAGAACTTTGAAAACATTGTGCTAAGTAAAAGCCACACACACGGGATATTTTATGATTCCCTTTATATGAAATACCCAGAGTAGGAAAGTTCATAGAGATAGATAGGAGATTGCTAGGGGATAGTAGTAGGTTAAAATAAAATGGGTAATAACTGATTAATAGGTATGGAGTTTAGCTTGGAGTGATGAAAATATTCTGGAATGATAGTAATGATGGTCCTACAATGTTGTAAACGTACTAGACACCACTGAATTGTGCACTTTAAAATGGCCAAAATGGTAAATTCTATGGTAGGCATATGACCAGAATTGAAAAAAATTTTAAATAACATATAATAAATGTGTGATTACTTGTGGAAGAATAACACATAGAGTAGAACCTTCATAGATGACCACCTCCCTACATCGGCCATCTCCTTATGTTGACCTAATTTTCATAGACTTGACATGCACCACATGTATGAATCATACAGTGGGCCTCGTTCCTTATGCTGACCACCTCTGTACCTTGACCAGTTTGTTACAGCTTCATGGGTGGTCAACTTACAGAGGATCTACGATAGTTTAAAACACAAACTTAGAGTTCAGAAATGTAAAAAAAATTTTTTTTGATTTAAAATAGCAACTCCAGAGTGCACTTTTTTTTTTTTTTTGGCAGTTTTTTGCAGTTTTTGGCATATACCTCTGGTATATGGGGCCAGCGCCCCAAGAGTGTCGTTGGCGTGTATTCCTCTTTCTCATTTCATAAGATTTTAAGACTCTAGAAATCTTTCTCTTTTTTTTTTTAAGTTCTTTTTCTTTCACATACAGTTTCTTCAAATCATTATAACTAACATATTTTTACTATGTGTTGTATGTATTGCTCATGTTTGTTTATTTATAATTATTTTCAAATTGTGAGCTTTATTTTGTTCTGAAAATAAAGTTGAAATTTTCATGCATATGAAGCATAATTAATTTTCTCTGAATTAGAATGTCTAAGATTTTTCTTCACTCCACATCCTCTATTAATCTTCTGAAGCAGGAATTTCACAGCATTTAATATAATTTTCAAGATTATAGCTCAGTGATCAGATTTTTCTCCTTATATTCAACTGTATTTTCTTTTGATTTTTTTTTTTTTAGACAGTCTCACTATGTTGCCCTTGCTAGAGTGCTGTGGCATCACAGCTCACAGCAATCTCAAACTCTTGGGCTCAAGTGATTCTCCTACCTCAGCCTCCCAAGCAGCCAGGACCACAGGCACCCACCACAATGCCTGGCTATTTTTTGGTTGCAGTTGTCAGTTGTTGTTTAGCAGGCCTGGACCAGGCATGAACACGCCAGCCTTGGTGTATGTGGCCAGAGCCCCACTCACTGAGCTGTGAGCTCTGAGCCTCTTTCAATATTTTTTAACTATGCTTTTTATTTTCCCAGCTCTACTTACATGGACAGTGAATTGTCATCATCTTAAAGAAATTGAACAAATACTTAACTATTCCTCTCAGTTTTTACTCGAGTACAAATTATATTTCCCATTGGGTTTCCTAAGGTTCCTTGGTCGTCAAATATCAGATTGTAATCAGTAGGCTGAATATCAGGGAATCCAGAATAGAATAGGTCTCTGAAGGGGTCAGTCTCCAGGCAGATTTGAAGCCAGAGTAAGATTAAAATATGGTCCTTGATTATCATGTGAGTCCCTTCAAGCAGTTGGTGAAAGTTGAAAAGCTCTAGAACTCAGAACATCATCTGTGTTTCCAGAATCCAAAGTTGTTGTTTTCCTTGGAGATGTTGAAGAAGCTCTTCTGCGTGCAGGAAAGATGTCCAAAAAATCGATATTAGGGAACCAAAGAATGAAGAGAGGTTGCAGAGTTCCAAAGAAGAAAGTCCTGGGGAAGCTGTAGACAGGGCACTTCATGTTATTGAAGGAGAGGTGTTCAGAGGTGTAGACAGGAAGATTCTGACCTGTGCAGGGGCCACCTTAAGGAAGAAGTCTGGAGCACAGGCGATGGACCAGTACTCACTTCCATAGAAGCTCATTGCCTAAAATCCATTTTCTGGTGACACAAAGATGACTCCTGTCCTCACAACACTGTTCTTGGCAACACCCAGGACTCATCCTGCCCTGTGCCCAACATCCACCTCTCAGTACGACCTCCCTGATATGAGCCCCTCCTGGCCCAGCTGGTAGAGGAGGAAGACAAGTCTCTAGGGGGTGTCCAGCTGCCTGAATGTCCAGGGGTCACATCCTTGCTTTCCTTGGAAAGAATCAGTTTCAGGTGAGCTGCATTGGGATCCTGTGTCATATTCACTGCAAAGAAAGAAATCCATTCTGATAATTAGTCAATATTGAAAAGTGTTAATTCATGCTATTAATATCCAAACAGGCAAGCTAAACTTTTCACTCACATAAGAAATTTAAAGAGAAAGAACTTTACAGAGTATACAAAACAGTCTTTCTATCAGCACGTGGGAAGTGACCTCCACTTGCTGAGCAGGAATCACCAGTTACTAGATAACTACATTTTTAAAGATCTTAGTGAAATGTTCATGCCAAAAGAATCTAAGTGAATTCTCATCTCTCAGCTATAAAATCAAGGACAGCTGGGCCCTGGCTTTTTTCTTCCTCTCCCTTGACTAGATCACTCGGAGATGGGCAGTAAGGAATCAAATTATTGTCTTTCTTTTTGCTCTATTACCACTGTAAACTGTGATCTCACTGAGCCTTGATTGCATGAATATAAGCCAGGGCTCTCATGTTTCTCACCCTTCACGAATGACTGAATACTCACTGAAAGCCCCCCCTGGGTGACTGCTGAAAAGGGAGGCTCAGGAAAGTGGCAGTGCAGTTCCCACCACAGGGTATGCTCTCAGAGTTTCTGTTTGCCTAACTTACCATTTTTATAGCTCTTTCTCCAGACCAGGCCTACAAGTGCAGCAAGAAGCAATCCCAAAATGAGCAGAATCTTCCATAAAAAAGTCATCTTGGACTCTAAAACGGAAACCCCGGAATCCCATTATATCATGAAACCTGACAATATCACAAATGTCCATTTCATTGGAGCAGCTCCTGGGCTGGGGAGGAGGGAGAACTGGGCCTCTCAGGGAGGGAGCTGGTCTGCTTCTCCCTGCTCTCCAGAAGCAGAGGAGAGACCGTAAATTTATGATGTCTCACTTCAATGTTTGCTCCTCTCAGAAGGGCACATGAGCACACACATACACACACACACACACTTTCCCCCCTTCTTTCTTCGAATTATATCATAGAATCACTGGAATAAGTGAAGTGGCAAAAGAAAAAATTCTCCAGGCCACAGCCATAAAGATGGTGTTGAGGAAAATTAGGTTCTAATCCAGAAGAAAATCCACTGTCAAGGGGGAAAGCAAAGTGCTGTGACAGTTTTCACATCAGAAGAGGAGAGCTTGGAGCTGCAGAAAAGACAGAGTCAATTTAGTGCACACACAGAAAAAGTATGACTTTAGGTCGTAGCTGGGGCGATGAGGGAGGAACTCTGAGGAGGAGATCCCCGAGTGCCCTGAACCCAGTTTTGCAAGAGACAACAGGATACGTCATCAGAGAGAAGAAAATAAAAATGTTAAGACAAAAAGAGCAGTAAAATGAGTAAGTCTAGGTGGTCTTGATATCTATTTACCAAACCCGAGATCAATACATGGGATCACCAACCTGAGGGAGAAAAAGTGGCTGCTTTCTCCTCCCCTAAAAGGGGGCTGCTGAGGGAACAAGTCACCTTTACAGCAGAGATGTTTGTGACCAGAAATGTCTCCACGTGGAACAGCCCATGGCTGTCTTGAGTCACGGTCTCAGAAAACGCTGGTATTGGCTTCCCGTCCCTGTCCTTCCACTGCACATGCGGCTGTGGGAACCACCCGTGGGAAGAGCACATCAGCTGTGCGTCTCCATCCTTCAGCCTCTCCATGGTGATCAGCGGGGAAGAGCCCAGAGCTGGGGATAGAGATCAAGGAGCCAAAATCTCTTCAGGTATTTGTGTGAGCTGTGACTTCACTGAGAGGGATGGGAGTATAAAGGGCTTGGGGAAGAGAGCAGAGCTTAGGGGGAATTACAGTCCACTTAGGGAGGAGATTGGCTGGGGCCTCTTCTTGTTTTGTTTGTTTTTATTTTTATTTTTTGTATTCTTAAATCACTGTGGGACAGATTAAGAGATAAGACATCGTTTCCAGTCCCTGAGAACAGAAGAATGATACTTTGGCCATGGCTTGGATCACATGAACAGGAGTTTAAAAAAGTGAGGCAGAGCCAGGCGCGGCGGCTTACGCCTATCATCCCAGCACTGTGGAAGGCTGAGGAAGGAGAACTGCTTGAGTTTAGGAGTTGGAGACTTGTCTGAGTGAGAGTGAGACCCCACCTCATAAAAAAAAAAAAGAAAATCCCAGTCAGTTGCCACTGTGAGCGCCTGTAATCCCAGTGGCTTCTGGAGGCTGAAGCAGCAGGATGCCCACAGCCTGAGTCTGAGGTTACAGTGAGCTATGATGCCATTGCACTCTGCTCAGGGCATAGGGAGGGACTCTGTCTAAAAAAGAAAAAGCAAGGAAATGAAAAGAAAAAGAAAACAAAAATTTAAAAGAAGTTAGTGAAAGAATAATCTCAAAGATCAAAATCTTACAAATATCTACATCCAATAGCAGAAAATGATGAGGCCCGTTTGACTTCTCAACATGTGCCCCTGCATATATTTCCCAAGTACACTTATTAATGTAGATTCAAAATCCACTGGAGAAAAACGAGGATATTGAAAATTAGGGCCGGTGCCTTCCATGGCCTTTGCTAAGCTTGGATAATAAATCCTCTCGATGTAGACAGTGGGAAATCATGATGCAGGGAGTGATTTTACCTTTTCTCTTCCATCCCCGCCAACACTGTCAATTTGTATGATTTTTGTTTATGCAGCAGGTCCAGTTTTGTCTTCAAATTATTATTTCCTAGTAACCACGCATTTTCCAAAATTTTAACAATATATTGCGAATTATGAGTCTTGTGTAAATTTATGGAGTAAAATTCTTAGAGTTCCCTAAATATATGATCACATTTTGAAGATACAGGAAAGGATACAAGTTTTAGTACCCAAGGAATTAAATGTGTCCTATGATACTTCCTGCACACTAGAGGGTTCAATATAAGTTTGATGACGAATAGACGTTAAGAAAATGTCAGGTGCAGAGAAATTTTCCAGAAACTAGCACGTTAAAGTGATAGGAACAGATGTTGAATCCAAAGCATCTATCTGGAATCCTTACCTACCACCTTTAGATCCACACCAGCCTCTTGGTAGACACCATCTTTTTCAAAAAGGCAGCGGTACTGCCCATCATCTGAAGGTCTGGCACTGAGTATCTGCAGGGTCAGTCTGCCCTCCTGGATGGCGTCACTCACCAACACCGTCCTTCCTCTATACTCCGCCATCTGCTCTCCAGCCACAGGGTCCCCATCCACATGCACATGCACAGCAGGGTAACGGTGAGATCGGACCCACCTCACCTCCATGCTCTCTGCATTAACCTCGGGGGACAGGTAACAGGTCAACTGTGTGTCTTCTCCCACTCTGACAAGGATGGGCTGAGAAGGCCCAATCACTTTTAAGAAAGCTGTTAAATGCAGCAGACAAGCACAAAGGAAGTATCAAAATGGAGCAAATTATCTCCTTAGCAAGAAATTCTCTAGTAGAGTTTATAGAGCTCCTAACCCAGGGGAGCTGTGAGGGCTGGGGTCATCCCCGGGGGGAGGTGGGGTTTCATGGGCTCAAGATAGATGATGTCTTTGTTCAAGGAAGAACCATCTCCCGATGTGTGTCAGTCAAAAAAAAAATCAGTAATTGAACCCCCAGTAGCCCCAAATTTTATTCAGCTTACAGATAGAAAATAAAATAATTTAGCAGTAAAATCTCCCAGCATAAAAGGAAAATATTACAAATTTGGCCTGAGGATATCTCTATGCCCGATCCTTATGTAATGACCTGCAACCTAACAGTATGTCAGGTAACTGAACGCCTAACTAGTGGTACACTTTTGTAGTAAACATCTGACTTGCATCCCCACTTGAGCCAATTGCACGTTGCCTCTTTAAACCATGTTCAAACAGGCAAACATCCCACTGTAAACAATAGAGCTGTCTCTGTACCTCGCTTCCATTTTCTGTCCCCAGATGCTATCTGGCCAAGATGCTCCTAGGAGTTCTCTGAATCTGTTCTGGTTGGAGGTCTCCCTCCCTGATTCTAGAATCATTCTTTGCTCAATTAAACTCTGCTAAATTTAATGTGAAAAGTTTTTTTTTAACACATCTACCATATATTATCTTAAACCAATTCTTATTCTATCTGCACTCAGTTTCTTAATCTATAAATTCAGTGCATTACTCTCCACATCATTAGGTTGTTGTGGAGTTAAGCAAAATAGTCTGTACATGGCATGTAGATGACCACACAGTAAGAGCAGAGGGTGCTGGAACTAACCCCACCCTCTGCCTCAGTGAATGGGAGTGGTTGACAGGAGTCCCAGGTGAATTTTTGACAATGAAATGTAAGGAAACAGCCCTCTGCGTGGTGTTTATAATACCTCTGAAGTGTGGTCCAGCCACTGTATCTTATTTCTGCCAAGTTCCACAGATGTGGGACTATAGACACAGACCAAGCTGAATGCCCTCAGATAATTCTGAGAAGCATTTCAAGATCAAGAAGTGGGGAAGCGCCAGCAAAATACAATCATGAAACAGTGCTGAATGTACAAAAGGTGTCTCCTCACACCATGAGTGGGAAGATTTTCTCCGAGGGATTTCTTGGGTCTGAGCTGCATTACACTTTCCATTCTCATCAGGCCCTGCCATGCCAACTTTGTTCTATTCTAAATTAAGAGTCATAATTTTTCTTCTATAAAATGGTAAGAATGATTTTGCACGTGTTATGATCATTTGTAATAGAAATAAAAGCATAAAATGGCAGGTTTTCTGGGTGGAGTCAATGGCCAAAGGCATAACATATCTATCATGTCACTGGCCAAAAGTTGCTAGGTACCTTTCTAGTGAGGAAAGTCCCCATCAACACAATTCTAATTTTCAGATTACTTCCTTCTAGTCTAGCTAATATGTGACTCCCAACTACTTGCAGCATTTTGTTTGCTTTGTCCTGCAATTTTACCTAAAATAATATTATTTCCTTTTCATCTGTTAAAATCTGAAGATAAATACAAGGCTCAGAAAAAATAAACTAGGGATTAGTTTGCTATTTCTCCAGCTATCTGTCTACGGGAAATCACTTAATAAAACAGATGTTTCTTCAACTCTGTCACCCCAGGAGGATTTTCTTCCCTTCCCTGACCTGTGCCATATATCACATCTGAAATTGCCCTGCCCTGATAGACATAGGTAATCATGAGCTAAAATCGACTTTAATGGAGACTAAAGAGAGCAAAATGAAAGTATGGAGATTCAATTAATTAGAAAAAATTCCTGTTTTCCCAGAATCTAAGAAAATATAAAGTTGAAGGTACTAGATAAATCCCGCAACCTTGTTTATTAATAGCTGATGTTCTACGAGGATATGAGCTCCTGACAGCAGCTCCGCATAATCCCCCTGTGTATACAGTTGTGTTCACAGATTTCCACAGGATTTGTGCTCAGGTTTATTGTTTTGTTTTGGTTTTGAGTATGTATGTATGTTCCTAAAATGCTTTCTGCATATCCACTAAGAAATTAAGTTCCTTCTGGAGTGTGAATCTCGTCGTCACTCCATACAACCCTCTTTCAATTAGCATATCCAATTAGTGCACTATCTCATTTCTTGAATATGCTAAACTGTATTCTGTCTAGTCTCTGAGAACTGCAAACTAAATTAGAGGTTAAATTCAACCTATTCATTTATAAGATGAGAAAAATAGAGACTAAATGATTAAGAAACTTGCACTGTTAAGTCAGGTAGACATTCACTGCAAGGCAAATATCACAATTTCTTTGTGGTTGTCTGCAACCACATATGTCTCAAAGACTACTTCCTAACTATGAAATGCTGATAAATCTACCAATCTTTGTAACTATTGTAAGAAAAAATAAAAGAATTCCTGCAAAGTACTTAGCTAGAGCCTGGCATATAATTAATATTCCAAGAAAACTAGTCATTATTTTTATAAAATGAATAACATGATCTGCCAGAGTAGAAGCAGAGATTCCTGTCTCAGGATTTGCATAAAGGGCTGGGTGTCCTGGTGGCTCCTTGCAGGGGTCCCTTCCTCTGGGCCTATCACTTGTGAGCATAAGACAGGGGCAGCTGAAGAGTTCCTGGGCTCCTCAATTGCCACAGCTCCCTGGCAAAGCTCCGGGGCCACATCCCCCCTCCCCTCCACTGACAGGAGCAAAAGGAAGCTCCATCTTTCCTCCCTGTTTTATTGTGGCCCCAGAAGGTCAGCAGAACTTAGGAACAACACGACATGGGATTGTACATTCTGTGCTGCGTCTCCAATGGGCGTATCAAGTTAGCTAAGAGAACTCAGAGGAGTGACTCTTCTCCGAAAATCTCCGTAAGGGACAGAGATGTGTGTCAGCCTGCCCCACACACTGGCTTGACTTACCGATCTGTAACTAACAAGCTCTGCCTGTTAAGGTTTCTGTCAGGCAGACACACTGGCTGCCTCAGGCAGAAGGCTCACAGGTGTGTCTCTCCTCACACTGTGGGGTTACCTTCGACCTTCCTGAAATCCTTCCCTTTATCTTTATGACCCAACAGGAGGGGTCGAAGGTGACACAGAAGACTCTGGCAGAGATTGGGGTGTATTCACCATCTGATTTTCCTCAAAAGACTTGTACACAGGCTGAAAGGAGGGCTTACACTCGCCTAAAGCAACACACGTTCTGGTAAAAGGTGACTTGAAGGAGAGCAGGGTGGGGATGGAAGGAGGAAATGAGGATCATATGCATCTGGGCAGGGAACAGACTGGGCTGTATTTGTCCTGGGCTGGGCATAAGGAAGAGAGAGAGAGATGGTAAGAAGCTGAAGGAGAAACCAAAAAGGGCCAGAATATCCAGCTGGTTATTTTTTAAGCCAACTTATCTTAGGTACAGTAAAATAGTATCTGGAGTCCAACTACATGGTTAAAAAGAAAAGGAAAAGGAAAATTATTATCCCAGTCACTCAGTCAGAGGGCGCCAGGCTATACCCAAGAAGCTACAGTTCCCTCCCACAGCAGCAAGGTTAGGAGCCTACTGGAGTGACCCGCTGGGACAGAACCCACAGCAGGGCCAGAGGGTGTGTGTGGTGGGTGACACTTCCAGTTGCCATGATGGCACTGCCTTCACTTAGACTTGAAATACTTTTAAAGGGCCTCTAGAGTCCAGCCAACCACTCCCAGCTGTTCCCCTCATGCCCTAAGGGAGCGCCCTTTCCTCTGGCCACACAGAACAGAAATGATGCCCTGCCCCTTATGGGAGTCCATCTGAGACTCAGGGGAATCCCATGAACCCCCAAAGAAGCAGATTACACAGTAGAATGGTCCCTCAAGGAGGCTGCACATTGCCAGCCCCTGCCAGTTCTGCCTGCTGCTAGCTGAACATAAGATCTGGTCTTTCAGTAACTCGCAGGCTGAGGGCAGAGGCTCCCTGCACAAGTGCATGCCAGACGGCCTACTTACCCAGCTCAGTCTGGAGTTTCTCTGGAAAAAGGAGAATCACATATTAAGGAATTTGATCTAAAGGAATGGAGAGAAACTATTTCAAAAAAAAAAAGCAACCAGAAGTGCATTAATGTACATAGTTACCATTCAATAAAAAAAAAGAAAGAAAAAAAAAAACAACTTCTACATTTTATAGGAAAGCTCAGTTCATAAGAAAAATAGGCAATGCAGAAAAATATTCATTGTTTCTCTTGGATCACCCAGTGATACAGGCTGTTTTTTCTTTTCTGTGTACAACAAAAAATACTCTCCCTTCTAGTTTCCTGTAATTCTGTTCATTTCTATTTATATTTACCACATAAATATTTAAGTTTAAGTTATAAAAACAATACAGTGTCTTTTTGTACATAGGAAGTACAAAATCATAATACACAGACAATCAATCACCGGTCATTACCAACAAACTGAGATTGTGTTTATGGTATACAGACTAATTATATTTATAAATATAAAATATATAATCAGCTTCTTTTGACATTAAAATATAACATACTTTAAGTTTTTATCTATCCATTTATATAAACTATATACTTTCATCCCAAAAGTTTTAGTGCAGTTATAAGTTATTCAAAGCCCATAATTTTTATATGATTGGAAATGTCTGTTTATAGATAAGATAGAAACCTCACACTCCACTGTTGTACTGGATTTTTTGGGTTGTTTTTGTTGTTATTTATAAATGAGGCTATAATTAATATTCTATCATGTAAATCATTGCCTCCATCTCTGATTAGCTTCATATAGTAGAGTTTTACAAGAAATCAGCACAATATAGCATGGGAAATAATTTCAGATGCAGGAGAATAGTTTCATTTTCTTTAGAATGTGATGCATACTTTGAGTAAAAAGAATCCGTGCAGAAGAAGAAAAGCTAGAACTCAAAAATAACTAAAGTTATTAACAACTATTCAATCAAAATGTGGTTCACATATTTCCAGTCATAAAATGTTTTATAGCTTTTAATGCATCTTACTAAATGTTAGATTTTTTTTTGGTAAAGAAGCTTGAGATGCTATGGTGCAGTCCCCTGCTGACCCAAGCATTAGATCCTAGAGGCAGAGCACTGACCTGGGATGTCGATGACTGACCTCTTCTCCTCAGTGAGGATGGGGTTGTGGATGATGCAGGACACACTCTCTGCAGAGGCATTCCTGACCACAAGAGTATCTTCCACGTAGAACAAGCCATCTTCATCCTGGACATGATGCTCAAACATGGTCAGCAACTCCTCTCCCCAGAGATCTTCCCAATAAACCTGGGGCTCTGGGAACCAGCCCTTTGCTGTGCACACAAGCTGGACATCCACAGATCCCTCCAAGTGGATGTTGGGGGCAGAGCCCAGACCTGCAGGGAGAAGTCACGGCACTGAGGCCCAGAGCCCATGGAAGAACAAATCATAGAGACCGGGATCCTAGTGACGTTGCACACAGGGAGAGGACAGGAGTTCAGGGGTCTGGGCAGCAGACAGGGAGACAGAGTCTTCTGCCCATTCAAATAGGGGTTCAGTCACACTTCATCTGTTCCTTGTCAGGATCTTTTACATTTAACCACCTGACTAGTATATTTCTTCAGATCCAGACAGGTGAATATGAGAAGGGGGCTAGAGTGATATTTTGCTGTCTCTCTTTTGCTGCAAAGAAAGATGTGTAATTTAGTGAAGAATTTCTCTATGCTTCAAACTCCGCCTTTTCCATCTTAACATTGTCTGTATCAGGCACTTTGGGGTTTTTTTGTTTCATTATGTTTTTTTGAGACAGAGTCTCTCAGTTTGTCACCCTCAATAGAGTGCCATGGCATCACAGCTCACAGCAACCTCCAACTCCCGGGCTTAGGCAATTCTCTTGCCTCAGCTTCCTGAGTAGCGGGGACTACAGGCACCTGCCACAACGTCCAGCTACTTTTTTGTTGCAGTTTGGCCGGGGCTGGGTTTGAACCTGCCACCCTCAGTATTTGGGGTTGGTGCCCTACTCACTAAGCCAGAGGCACCGCCCTGTATCAGGCACTTTATCTGACATTTTAGATGATATCTGGTTTCCAATTTAAGCAGAATTCTTAATATAAAGTCATAAATCACTCTCCTGGGGTCTATTCATCCCAGGTCTTTTGCTGGTGGCTGTGATCTTGGGATGCAAGTGAACAAACTGGAGCACGTAAAATAGGAAGTTCCATGAGAAATTCTTTGTATTCAAATATTCTAGTCAATGGGGGAAATATTTTTTGAGAAATTCTAGTTTATAGCAATGTATGTAATCATAAAATTCTTTCTCTGTTCACCACAAAACTTCCAAACTCAAACAAAGTGGACCATATTTTCCACATATGGAAGTTCTGACTTTATCACTTGCTAGAGAAGAGACCCATTCCCTTCACTTGAAGCCTTAGAAATTTTGTGTCTTATTTGTAAATGTCCATGATAGTGAAAAGCTTTAGTATCAGCCCTCCTCACTCCCACATGTCAGAAAAATAGGGATTCTTTAATCCAGTTTGAATCACCTTGAATATAATATAATCACCTTGAACACTTGATGGGTGTTAAGAAAAAAACTGTTAGGAAGCTACCTCAGTGGGGGAGTAGAGTGGACAGCAGAATCAGCCAGGGATGTTACTGTACCTCCAGAGGACTATTTCCCTGGCAAGGTAAATGAATTCGCCTTATTTTCTCTTTAGAACATGGAGGAGTTATTCCTCTCAGGGAAACACATGATAGTTTACTTTTCAAATACCTGTTTTTCCATAAGACAGATCTATTCATGGGTTACCCCCTTGCTCCCCTCTCCTCCTGCTTGGCTGACACAATAGCATTCTTTCATAGTGTGTGTATCTAAAAGTACCTGTGAGTTCCCAATTCATTGAACCTAGTGTGTGATACTCTCCCTAAAAGCACAATGTTCTTAACCTCTCGGTCTCATTGCTAGCTTCTTAACTGGGAGAATTTCACAGAGAAACAAAGTTTTTACATCTTGGTTACTACATAGATGAGGTCGAGCAGAAAACAGCCATTTCCCTGAGCTATAGAAGCTGAGCAGGGAGCTGGGCTTGCTCACCCAGCAGTCACAATCAACTCACTCTTGCACACCAGCCTTGGGTGGCACAAACTTGTGCCTCAGCCAAATTGCTAAAGCCCGCATGCCATAGATTTCAGATAATCTTCAGGAATAGTCAAAACAAACACCACACTCTCTAATAATCTGGAACTAATCGATGGGCACCCAGGGACACAGAGAGAAGTAAAAGTCACTGGACATCAAGAAAAGGACGTAGAAGAGGATGTGTAAAAACTCACCAACAGGTACAATGAACACAATTCAGGTGATGGGCACACTAGTAGCTCTGACTTAAGTGTTATAAAAGCTATCCATGTGACAATGACATTTGTACTCTCTTAATATTTTTCAATAAAAAAGGAATAGTTAATAGTAAGTTAAACTTAGGAAAATATTTTACCAGTGAGGTTGCTTTGAAGACTCCATAACCACTTGTTTTCAAGTGAATCAAGGCAGAGAACTGGGCATTAGGAATTACCCTGCTAACTCAAAGGGAATTCTTCAACTGACAAGACTGTCAGCTTCCCACCAATTAGTATAATTCTCCCCCTGATACCCTGTGTCTTTTCCCAGATAGTCACCTGCTACCTCCAGCAGCAAGCTTGCTTCTGCATAGAAGTCTCCCTCCTGGAAACGGCACCAGTATTGCCCACTGTCAGACGGCTGGACGTTGCGTATCTTCAGAGTCATGTGTCCCTCAGCAACGCCGTCCTCCATCCACTCTACCCGGCCTCTGTACTCCTCCATCTGCACCTCGGTCACCTCTGCCCCCTCCCGGAGGACACACACAGGCGTGTCGGGCTCGGAGCGGTACCACCGCACTTCCATGTGCATCGCCGTCCTCTTGGGGAGGATGTGACAGGTTAGCAGGACATCTTTCCCGACTCTGGCCAGGATAGGTCCACCAGGGCCAAGCACCCTAAAGTCATCTGCAAAACAGAGTGAGAGAGAGGAAAACAACAAGCAGAGGATCCATATGCTTGCTTTGGGGTGTCAAGCCAATCAAAACGGAGGCAGCGGTGGGGGGCTTCCTTTTCAATGTCCTAGAGACATCAGCATGATGATTTGCACACATCATCTTTGTTACAGAGACGATTTTGTACACTGACAATAAGCACAGTTCCAAAATGTGATTTCAAGTTCTGAGTCTCTCATTTATCACCTGTGTGATTAGGGGGCAAATCTGTTACTCTCAGTGAGATTTAGAGATTTGAAGTTTCAATGTTTTCATCTTTAAGACATCAAAACCACCATCTCTGGGTTGCTTTTATTGAGAAATAAGTTAATATGTAAATTGATTTTTAATGGAAATTATTGTTAGTATTCATATTTTAGTCATTTTCCTAAAATTTATGCAATAAATTCATTTATTAGATTTTTTAGCCTTTCAGGATTGCTGTTAAGAAACTGTAGGGTTTTCTTGTTTGTCTTTTTTTAATTTTTTATTGTTTGGGATTCATTGAGGGTACAAAGAATTAGGTTACACTGATTGTGGTTGTTAGGTAAAGTCCCTCTTATAATTGTGTCCTGCCCCTAAGAGGTGTGCCACACACCATGATCCCCATCCCCCTCCCTCCTCTCCTCTGCCGGGTCCCTCATTTCCCTACCTCCCCCACCTGTATTAGCTCATCTACTCCTTCATATTAGAATTGAGTACATTACATTCTTGCTTCTCCATTCTTGTGATACTTTACTAAGAAGAATGTGTTACAACTCAGTCTAGGTTAATACAAAAGATGTAGAGTCTCCATCTTTTTAATGGCTGCACCGTATTCCATGGTGGACATATACCACAGCTTGTGAATCCACTCTGAGGTTGGTGGGCATTTAGGCTGTTTACACGTTTTGGCCATCGTAAATTGAGCTGTCATAATGCACATTAGTCTAGTGCATTAGTCTACTATTGACTATTCTTTTTTACTGTAAAATATTGTAAAATAAAATAGTCTAGTGTGAATGTCCTTATGATACAATTACTTTTCTTCTGGGTAGATGCCTAGTAATAGGATATTTTTTGTTTTTGTTTTTTTCCTGGAGAAGGTAAGAGTCCAGTCTGGGGCTCTGTACAATTCAGTTTTTACAAGGACATTTCATGGTGGATTAAGGGCAGGGACCTTTCTACATGCCATTCAAAGGGTCACCACAGAGCTGAAGTGGGGACCTGCTTGCATTCTTCCTGGGCGGAATTTAAATACCAAGCTGGAACCCAACTGATTCTACCGACTGTCACAGGATGAGGGGGCCGTGCAGCACAGCCCGGAGAGGAGCGCAGGGATTCTGCAGCTGAAGCCTGCAGCCAGTGGCTTCTGGTGCCCTGCCCAGCGTGTTCCCTCACTTCCCACGTGGCATTTTCCGTGGGGCTCAAATATCCCCCTCGGACGCTGAATTGCCATAATTCTCTTCCAAGGTGCAACACTTTAACTGACAAAGGTCTGTTTGGGGGATGTCTCCCTCTAGTCTCTTATTTCCAGGTATTACTAAGGAAATTAGTTTATGATGAGAAGCAGCTGCTTTTCTTGCCGTCAAAGGGCTGTGCGGCTGGAGGCTGGAAGTGCGAGGATGGATGAGGACACTGACGCGCTCCAGCACTGACTCAGCGCTTTCCACATCTCATTTAAGCCCAAAGCCTCCGCTGGCCTCTCCCACGTGGGGACTGTTGTTATTCTCATCATAAAGATGAAGAGGCTGAGGCACAAAGTGCTCCAGTCACTTTCAAAAGGCGCCACGGCTGGGCGTGGAGAATCAGTTCCCTTTTAGGAACACAGGGGCCTGGGCGCTGGACCTTCACTCTCAGATGTCCTAGTCCTTTTGAGTTTAGAACTCTGCGCAGGACTGGCTGCCTGGTACGTGAGAGCACGTTACACGTGCAGAGGAGGGAGGGGGTCCTACCTGACTGCCTCACGGTCAGCAGGACGAAGAAGAAGGAGGCGGCCACAGCACACAGACTGGACCCTGGGAAGTTCACCATGCTCCCTGGAGCAAACACAAGGGAAAGTGTGACGGTGCCTCAGTGAGGCTGTGACAAGCCCAGGAGACTCCATGGCTTCCCTGGCTGTGTCCACATCAAGCTCTTCGCAATCAGTGAACCCGGCTTGGCTCCATTTCTCTGCAGTACGGTCACAGCCGACCCCCTAGCTAATGTGTGGTATGTTAAATTATTTTTTAAGCCCTAGGGAACCTTTCTGGTTGGAATGAAAAACACTCTTTAGCTGAATGAACAATAATATTAAAAATAAAAACACTCCTTAGCCCCATCTGTTGTGAACATCCAGAAATTATAGAGGAGAATTCAAGTATTTTTTTCTCATCCTCCTCCCACCTTGTCTTGCAAAGTCCTTCCTCACTACAGTGAAACAGAACAGCAAAGAGTAGGAAGGCTCAGCCTCCCCACTCTGCAGCCAGTAAGCCAACATGGGGTCTCAACATCCAGAGAAGCCAGGGCCACAGGGAAGTCTTGGAAAATGAAGGAGAGTGGTGGAAATCCGGCTGCAGCAGAAGACAAACAAGGAAACCCCTAAACACCCTTTTAAAACACCCTAAATTTAGTATCTTGAAAACACATAGCAATGAATAAAAGAAATAGCCCAACTGGCAGAGACTGACAAACACGACAAGCCCACTGTCCTAGCATGATAAAAATATTCCACACAGCTCAGAAGTCTAAAACTGATTAGGAAGGGCAAACACTGAATGCTCAGTTTAGTGCTGAAAGAGAAAAAAATCAGAGTGAAAGAAGTCTAAGCCTTATTATAGCTGACGTGGCAAGTATTTTACTGATGGAAATTTGCTTCATACCAAGTAGAAGAACCAACTCAGGGGCAATGTTGAATTAATTACCGCTTCCTTTTCCCCAGAAACTAATTCTAGTAAGATTTTATGGGACGGGAGAAAAAATCAGCAGTCTGAAATAGAAATTAATAATCAAATAATCAAGGAGATTATTATTACTGAAATATTACTTTTATTTTGTTTTCTTAAAAAAATAAGTACTTTCATTATAACATAGATATAACTGATATGAGCCCAGTCACAATACCTAGAACTAAAAAAGCACTGAAATATTTGTATTAAAATGGGACTGAGCCTAACAAGATAGCACAGCCATCACCATCTTGCTACCTGAGATGTACCATTCAGCTCCTCCTCTACTGAAGGTCCTTGCAGATGTTTGCTCAGTCCCTCTTATGAGAAGCAGAAACATTATTTTTCTGCCGAGTAAGAGCAAGGAAAGCCCCACACAGACCACACCATGAGCCCTTGGTCAGTTGTGTGAACTAAAAAGAGCCCACACTTGCTACAAACCACTTGATAGGTTTGTGTTCTGTCTTTTATATTAAAGCAAGTGGTGGGGGAGCCTACAAATGAACTCTAATAAACATGGCCCTAATCAGTGCAACTTCTGAACAATGTTGGGGAAATGCAGCATAACCTCCTCTGGTGCTCAGGGATGCATTTGTGAGAGAGAGAAAAGGGAAGAATACACTGCTGTGGACCAGGGTTCTCAGTGGGGAAGGTGATGGTTTTGCCATTACAGGACATTTGGCCACCTCTGGAGACATTTTCAGTGTCACATCTGGGGGAGGTAAGTATAATGGGTGGAAGTCAGGGACCCTGCTAAACATCCTATAATACACAGGACACCCCCCAAACAAAGAATCATCCAGCCCCAAAGGTCAATAATGCCAAGGAGAGGGATGCACCTGTGGCTCAAGGAGTAGGGCACGAGCCCCACATACCAGAGGTGGTGGGTTCAAACCCAGCCCCAGCCAAAAACTGCAAAATAATAATAATAATAATAATAATGCCAAGGAGAAACCTGCCATAGGGTTGCTGTCGGTGTGTTCAAAATATTTGGCATTTCTTTTGTAAATAGGTAACTGGACCTAAATTGCAAATTTAAATAAAAACATTTTAATTGTAAGCTTTGACATCCCTGTTGTACTATTTGAATATAGAGCAAGAATCTTCTGAAACTGCTATTCTTATTAAATGTGTAAACTTTGTTAATGTCAAGATATAGGATCTAATGTGTAGATGTATTATCAAATTCTCAACTCCCATATTTAATTTCATTTTCTGGGTGAAGTGTAAGTATTAGAATGAAACAATAAGGGAGAGTTTCTGTTTAGGCATTAGGTGAATAACAATTCTGAATTTTAAGGCCTACCTTGCACTACTAAAACTCATATTGATGAAAATTACAAATCACTACATATCCTGCGTCATTAGAATTTTTTTCATGTAAGAGCCCAGAATATTTTAATCCTCAAAATGACAAATAGCTATAGTTAGGAAGTGGCGAGAATAAAGTCAGTTCATGAGGTGAGACGCTTATACGTATATGTATCCACAATATAGACTTTAAAACAGCTACAGCTTATCCTATGAAACAGCACATTTTTATGAAGAGAAAGCAAAAGAAGAGTTCTAGGACTCAAGGTGACATAGGACATTTTACTTTATTTTGCTAAACCTCTAGTTTCTCTCCTCTCTGACGGAGACCATCATCCTAACATTTTTCTAACTGTGTCATCACCAGGTGACAGATGAGGAAATCAAGGCTCAGAGACCAGACAAAGGAATAATGCCATCCTGGTTTTTAAATTTGTAATCTAGAGCCTGTTCCACACCCTGCCAGCTTTGCAGGAACCCTGTGAGGATCAAATGAGCTAGGATAGTGCTTTGAAAAATACATAGGATGGGATATAAGTACACAATGTATAGGTGGAAGGCAGCGTTACAAGTAGCAGCACTTCCCTACCCCTACGGGGTGCTGACATTTCCCTACAGTCGACTTCCCACAGCCATCCTTCACCAGGGACTTTCCAAACCGCTCACACATCTCCCTCTCTCCTCCAGGGGTGAAACCCAAGGCTGCAGGGTCTTCTTACCTGGTCTCAGGTGTAACCTTCATCCACAAGCAGGTGTCCAAAGACAGATCAGAGCTCTAGGGTGCAGGGATCTGAGAGAGAACCACGGGAGACAGAGCCAGAGGGGGTAGAGGTGTCCCACTTCCCCCAGGCTTTGGGTAAAGGAAGGATTTATGCAGGCTCACCCAAGCTGAAGGCAGAGGCAAATCCCTGAGGCCCTCTGAAAAAGAGACTCCAGTCAGAATAGCACAGTCATCTGTCAGTTCTAAGGCGCTTAAAAGTGAAACTCAGAGGACAAGTGGACTTTGGGTTGTGCTGTGGTTCTCAGGACCTGCAGACAAAATTGTGATGCTGGTGCTCATCCTCCTCCCCCAGAAATCCGGGACTCATGCTGAGCCCCCACCTGACACTGGTCTGTGCACAGACGTCTCCAGTTAGGCCCTCGCACAGACCTGCTGTCCCTGCAGCACCTGTGCCAGTGTTGCTCTTTCCCCTTCCCTCTGCCCCACCACACACCAAAGATTCCCCACATAGTGCCAAGTTGCCACCAGAACACGGCACTCCTAGGGCTGGAAAGGTGGAAGCAAGACTGAATATGGAATGTCCCATCCCGCATTAACTGATGAAAAGCTAGAGGCCAGGAGAAAGGAATCTCCTCCCGATCAGAGCCCCGGGCCAAGGTCCCCTGTGGGCCAGTTTATTACTCCTCTTACTTTGGTTCTTTATCTCCCTTTGCCAGGTAATAAAGGCTTTAATTACTCTCAGATACTTACCTAAGAAATGTAAGAAACTTTTCAACACAGTGTTTGGGCACAAAGTGCATAACCACAGAGATTTATAGGCATCTTTTTTCCTATTAAGTCCGTTTCCCTTGCTCTGGAGTGTGGGGCAACTTGCAGATATTGTCTCAGGGTCTCAAGAGTTCTACAGAATAATTTTTAATTTAATTTTAGATTTTTATTTCAATGTAATAATATAAGCATATGCTGCATAATGATGTCGTAAGTCTTGAACTAATTTTTTTTCCTGAAATTTCCCTCCCTTCTCCATTATGATCAGCCTATAATTGGGCCACCTAATTTGAAGTTACTGTTCTAAATATAAGGATCTCCCCCTCCACCCTTCAGTGCAGATAAAGACCCTCCCCACTCCGGCGGATGAGTGGTTTAAAGAAGAAATAACATTAATGAGGTTATGAGGTCTCTTTACTCCATCTGTCTCTCAGAGTAGAGGGGACTGCACCCCACTTCACCTCTGGCCTCCAGAATAACAGCGGTGCCCACAGATGTCCCTCCTGCAGTGACACTGAAGAGTAACAACAAAAGATGGACCCTAAAAGGCTCGAATAGTGGAACAAAAGGTTGCCTAAAATGCTGTCATGGAATGTTCTAGCAAGAGGAATGTGGAGTCATGGACATAGCAGTCATGGTCACTAGTATGGGAGGGACAGTGACATCCAGATGAGCACCAGGGGATATACAGGCAAGAACCTTTGTACCAATCCTGCACTACCTCCCACCTCAAAATTCAGAAGTAACTCTGGGCAGGGTGGCAGTGGTGGGGGAAGTGTTTTTAAATTAACTGTATGAAAGCCACTGAATTCATCTGGAAATTCCCAGATAAACTCCTCTGCTATAAGACATACTAGCATCCGGCATAACCATTAGAATAATTAATAGAAAAACACAGAAGTTTATTTTTTCACCTCTCAATGGTGTGAAAATATACTATCTGTTACACACATTCTGTATCATCTTGAGATACACAGTGTTGGATTCTTCTAGGAGTCTTAGTATCCACCTTTGCACTTTTGCTTGTGATCAGTCACCTAAGCACCAACTGACTGTGCAGAAGCTCTGCTTGAACTCTTGTGCACCTTTTCTCACAGACCCCCTACATTCACTTCCTCAGAGGTCCACTTGAGCTGAGACAGAAACTGTGCCCTAAATTATGCTATGCATTATAGATGGCCATTTTGCATAGGGACATATGGATATATAGGAGAGAAAAAAGAGTCACAATCTCTTTGCCATTCTGACTAGAGTCCACTTCTGGGAGAAGCAGGACAGCAAGACAAATGCAGCCCTGAGGAGAAGAC